ACAAGGCTGCATGCACAGCCACAGGGAGCACCGACCTTCATAAGTAAATGTGCCAAAAGACATCATCCTGTGTTTATTGGGAGCTGTGTAACTGGTGCTATTCTGGAGTACGAAGTATATTTATCACAGATAATTCTCGTATTTGCTGCGGATACTATTAGGGGTCATACTCTTGAAAAGAGGAGATTAGGGGGGATATAATCTCCATGTATAATACATAAGGGGGGATATGATCTCCATGTATAATACATAAGGGATGATATGATCTCCATGTATAATACATAAGGGGGATATGATCTCCATGTATAATACATAAGGGGGGATATGATCACCATGTATAATACATAAGGGGGGATATGATCTCCATGTATAATACATAAGGGGGGATATGATCTCCATGTATAATACATAAGGGGGGATATGATCTCCATGTATAATACATAAGGGGGGATATGATCTCCATGTATAATACATAAGGGGGGATATGATCTCCATGTGTATAATATATAAGGAGGGATATGATCTCCATGTATAATACATAAGAGGGATATGATCTCCATGTATAATACATAAGGGGGATATGATCTCCATGTATGATACATAAGGGGGGATATGATCTCCATGTATAATACATAAGGGGGGATATGATCTCCATGTATAATACACAGGGGGGGATATGATCTCCATGTATAATACATAAGGGGGGATATGATCTCCATGTATAATACACAGGGGGGGATATGATCTCCATGTATAATACATAAGGGGGATATGATCTCCATGTATAATACACAGGGGGGGATATGATCTCCATGTATAATACATAAGGGGGGATATGATCTCCATGTATAATACATAAGGGGGATACGATCTCCATGTATAATACATAAGGGGGGATATGATCTCCATGTATAATACATAAGGGGGGGATATGATCTCCATGTATAATACATAAGGGGGGATATGATCTCCATGTATAATACATAAGGGGGGATATGATCTCCATGTATAATACATAAGGGGGGATATGATCTCCGTGTATAATACATAAGGGGGGATATGATCTCCATGTATAATACATAAGGGGGATATGATCTCCATGTATAACACATAAGGGGGGGATATGATCTCCATGTATAACACATAAGGGGGGATATGATCTCCATGTATAATACATAAGGGGGGATATGATCTCCATGTATAATACATAAGGGGGGGATATGATTTCCATGTATAATACATAAGGGGGGATATGATCTCCATGTATAATACATAAGGGGGATATGATCTCCATGTATAATACATAAGGGGGATATGATCTCCATGTATAATACATAAGGGGGGATATGATCTCCATGTATAATACATAAGGGGGGATATGATCTCCATGTATAATACATAAGGGGGATATGATCTCCATGTATAATACACAGGGGGGGATATGATCTCCATGTATAATACATAAGGGGGGATATGATCTCCATGTATAATACACAGGGGGGGGATATGATCTCCATGTATAATACATAAGGGGGATATGATCTCCATGTATAATACACAGGGGGGGATATGATCTCCATGTATAATACATAAGGGGGGATATGATCTCCATGTATAATACATAAGGGGGATACGATCTCCATGTATAATACATAAGGGGGGATATGATCTCCATGTATAATACATAAGGGGGGGATATGATCTCCATGTATAATACATAAGGGGGGATACGATCTCCATGTATAATACATAAGGGGGGATATGATCTCCATGTATAATACATAAGGGGGGGATATGATCTCCATGTATAATACATAAGGGGGGATATGATCTCCATGTATAATACATAAGGGGGATATGATCTCCATGTATAACACATAAGGGGGGGATATGATCTCCATGTATAACACATAAGGGGGGATATGATCTCCATGTATAATACATAAGGGGGGATATGATCTCCATGTATAATACATAAGGGGGGATATGATTTCCATGTATAATACATAAGGGGGGATATGATCTCCATGTATAATACATAAGGGGGATATGATCTCCATGTATAATACATAAGGGGGATATGATCTCCATGTATAAATCCATCAGTGATTCATATAGTGAACTCGGTGTAGTTATTCCTCCTGAGGTCATCACAGAAGACAAGGGGGCGCTCTTTACGTCTGGAGGAAAGGAGATTTAATCTTCAAACACGGAAAGGTTTCTTCACAGTAAGAGCTGTGAGAATGTGGAATAGACTCCCTCAAGAGTTAGTTGTGGCCAGCTCAGTGGATTGCTGTAGGAAAGTCCTGGATTCTTTCTTGGATACACAGAATATAACTGGATATATCATTTATAGGGAAAGTTGATCCAGGGAATATCCGATTGCCTCTCGGGGGTCATAAAGGAATTTTTTCCCCTGTAGGAGCAAATTGGATGATGCTTTGCTGGGGTTTTTTTTTACCTTCCTCTGGATCAACTGTGAGTGTAGGTTTACAACTTTTTTTTTTTTTTTTTTTTGGTTGAACTGGATGGACTTTTGTCTTTTTTTCAGCCAGACTAACTATGTAACTATGTAACTATGGATCTGCATTTTATCTGCATTCAATCTGCCCTTCATTTGTCCTGCTTGGTTTCTGGGGGTCATATTGCCACAGCTCCCGGGGCAGACATCCCTGAATACATTCAACCCTTAGTGATGCCATGTTTATCCTTGAGCTTCTTTGTAAGTGGTAGGGTTATCTACTGACATTGTGGAGCTCATTGTTCGATCATGCTATTTTGTTATCAATCTATTTATTTAATTTTTTTTTTATAGATATGAACCTTGCATCCATTCCTGAGGAAGTGGACTGAGATGCACCAAATGCGTTGAGAGTTCTTGTACGCAATATGTCTGGACTGTACATTTTATACAAGCATATTATGGATGAGTGGAAAGGGCAATATTGGTTATGTTGATATATTACATTTAAAGCGATACTAAAGGTTCATTTTTTTATTTTTTGTAAAATAACAAACATGTCCTCTTTTCGGGTTCCCTGACATCTCCTTTCTGTTGGATGCCCCCATAACAAGTAGCTTGCTATGGGGGCACCTGCTGCTCCATGTATCCATTCACACACGGAGCCATGGATTGACTCCGCCCCTTCTCTCCTCTTTGGCTGACTGGCTGTGATTTACAGCAGCAGGACCCAATGGCTCCCGCTTGCTGTATCAGTCAATGAAGAGTCAGAGATCCAGGATAGCTGAGACACCCATGTTTCGTCACGTTCGATCGTCAACATGAAGGACGGGTCATCCACGGCACGGTGACTGAGCTCTTGGCAGACTTCGATGCAATGTTCCTTCTGCTCCCGGGCCAGCAGCCTTCTCTCCTCTTTGTCTGACTGGCTGTGATTGACAGCGGCAGGAGCCAATGGCTCCCGCTTGCTGTGTCAGTCAATGAGGAGACAGAGACCCGGGATAGCCAAGACACCCAAGTTTCATCACGTTCAATCCTCAACATGAAGGACGGGTCATCCACGGCACGCTGACTGAGCTCTTGGCAGACTTCGGTGAAGTGTTCCTTCTGCTTCCGGGTCAGCAGCCTGGGGACGAACTTGGCAGCAACACAATACGCATATTCAAATCACACGTGTTCCGTATGACACGCCGACAATGGCAGCGATGTTATGGATTGTTCTCCGACGATCATCACGCACAAGATGCCGAATGGTTTTGACATCTTCAGGGGTTGAGCTTGTTGAAGGTCTTCCTGATCTCTCATCATCTCTCATCTTCCAGTGATGTTCTTCCACTCTTGAAGCACATGTGCCACTCAGAACACCTCGAACGATTCAGTACAGCATTGCTGTAAACTTGCCAAATCATGTCCAAGGTCTCTGTTGGAGATTTGCCCAGTTTCATGCAGAATTTCACCTTTACTCTTTGTTCTAACTTGCCGTCCATGATGAAATAGCAGACATGGTATTACACGTGGTCAGAAGAGCACCAGTTACACAGCTCCTGATGTACACAGGACAATATGTTTTGGCTCACTGACTTATGAAGGTCCGAGCTCCCTGTAACTGTGCGTGCAGCCTTGTTCGGCCATCTGTTGGTGTGTTGCAAAACTAGTCTTCAGACTTTTTGATACCACCTCGTAAGTGTAAATGAAATGACTAAAGTCTCATATGACCTGCCCCAATTAATCATGAACAAGTAGGTGCTACGACCAGAAATGATCCCCACGGAGGTGGAATGTCTGTACTCTGGCTCTGTGTGTTTTCCCAGCACCTGAAGGATGAAGATTGGTATAGCCGGCACTCGTCTTCCCGAATAATAAACCTTACTGAACGAGTAAAATGTGCCTATAAAATGATTTACGCATTTCGGCAATAAGCCCTAGTCATAGCCAGCTTCTTCTCCGGAGATCTCCTCTGACTTCATGATGAATCTACAGGACGGGTGAAGGAAAGGGAAACCTTCCAAGGTAACACACAATGTAACCATTTCCTATTCTGTCCATGATTTAACAAAAAATGTTTTGGTTTTAGATACTGTTTATGTTTTAGATTAGATTAGTTTAATCTACTGGGTTTCTGTGCTCCTCTATGCAATGAAGGTTGGTGGGAGGGACTGGTACATAGCTTCCTGAAAACATCACAGCACCCTATCCTCAGTACTCCTCTCAAGATCCCTCAGCTCTAATGCAAGCAGTGGGAAGAGTTATACAAATATCGAAATACCATGATAGGTGGATGTCAGTCTGGAGGAGTGGCAGTTCCGCAGGCTGTATTTACATAGATAACGCCCACATGTGATGCTGAGCTTCCATGATTGACAGAACTGAAATCCAATGAAGGAAAAGGGCAGAACCAGGGACAGTCAGGTTGAATGATGCTGGACGACCTCCAGCCAGGAAATGAGGCGAAGTTCTGTTTGACTGGCTGCAGTTTCTAATGCACATTGTGAGAAGCTCACAGTGTGCGGGGAAATCAGAGTAAGCCGTTTCAGTCCAGAAGAGGAGCAGGTACACCTGTGCAAGACTGAAGGGGAGGAGCTGGTACACCTGTGCAAGACTGAAGAAGGAGGAGCCTGTACACCTGTGCAAAACTAAAACTAAAGGAGCTGGTATACCTGTGCAAGACTGAAGGGGAGGAGCTGGTACACCTGTGCAAGACTGAAGGGGAGGAGCCTGTACACCTGTGCAAAACTAAAACTAAAGGAGCTGGTACACCTGTGCAAGACTGAAGGGGAGGGGCTGGAACAGCTGTGGAAGATTGAAGGGGAGGAGCTGTTACACCTGTGCAGGACTGAAGGGGAGGAGCCTGTACACCGTACAAGACTGAAGGGGAGGAACCGGTACACCTGTGCAAGACTGAAGGGGAGGAGCCGTACACCTGTGCAAGACTGAAGGGGAGGAGTCGGTACACCTGTGCAAGACTGAAGGGGAAGAACCAGTACATCTGTGAAAGATTGAAGGGGAGGAGCTGGTATACCTGTACAAGACTTAAGGGGAGGAGACAGAACACCTGTGCAAGACTGAAGGAGCCAGTACAACTGTGCAAGAATGAGGGGGAGGGGCCAATACACCTGCGCAAGACTGAAGGGGAGGAGCTGGTACACCTGTGCAGGACTGAAGGGGAAGAGCTGGTACACCTGTGCAAGACTGAAGGGGAGGAGCTGGTACACCTGTGCAAGACTGAAGGGGAGGAGTCGGTACACCTGTGGAAGACTGAAGGGGAGGAGTCGGTACACCTGTGCAAGACTGAAGGGGAGGAGCTGGTACACCTGTGCAAGACTGAAGGGGAGGAGCCGGTACACCTGTGCAAGACTGAAGGGGAGGAGCTGGTACACCTGTGCAAGACTGAAGGGGAGGAGCTGGTACACCTGTGCAAGACTGGTAGGAAGGCCAGTGTTCTGCTTTAACCTCCTTGGCGGTATTCCCGAGTGTAGCTCGGGGTAACATTTCAGTACCACAAACGGTAACCCCCCCAGCTACACTCGGGAATACCATGCGGCGCTGCTCCGGCATTTGTTCTTCACTTAACTTACCCTGCGCTCCCACGATGTGTCCCCTGCAGCGTCCCCGGCCATCTCCTCCGGCCGATGCCGGCATCCGGCTTCTGTGTCCTGTCCCTGTGACGTCGGGACGTATGGGCGCCGCTGGCGGCGGGAAATTTTAAAATTTAAAAAAAGTCTTTTTTTTTTTTTTACATTTTACATAGTAAAACATTGCTGTCTCAACCAATTTCACATACATTTTGTCCCGAGTGCTTTGTCCGGCGCCCTGCCTGCATTTTTACTGTTCTTTCTGCCTGGAAACTGAGAAATGTCCATGGCGTCCAAAAAGTGTCCCTTTAGGTCAAAAGCGGTTTAGATCAGCTAGAGAACAGCGATAGTAAATCAGAACCACTTGCAGAATTGAGTGATAATGATTCGTGGGGGAAATTCCTCATCAGACACTGAAAACGATTCTGCGACTGAGCTCAGCGATGTGCGAACTTGGCGCTCTATTTCACATTTCAGTGTTTTTGGTTTGATTATATTATTGAATTAAATTTATTATTATATTATTATTTTTTATGATTATTTATTAAATTATAATTTATGCTTACGTGTTTCAAATTTTATCATCCCCGGGATGTTTACTAGACTCTTGTTCGGACAGATTTCAGTGAGTTATTCCTAAAAATTACAGACCTACAATAAAAAAACTACATATTTCCATGCAAAAAAATAGTATCACTTTCAGCACCAAAAATCGGAAAGAATCATACCGCCAGGGAGGTTAAATAAAATGTACACAATTATGCTTTGACTTCCTAAGAGCGTCTCTTGGAATAGCTGAGCTGGGTACACTCTATGTAGGCTTTAATTCACTGACAGACACTTCTAGATATTGTCAGATAACTTGTCGTTTAACGGCGGATCATTCCCTCATCATTCACCAGGCTATTTCAATCAGGGTTGCTAAGCAGTCGTGATTAAAGCCGGGAATTATGATTGGCATAGTAGATTTGGACCAAGAAGGCCATTTTTCTCAGCTTCCAATTGGCTCGGGGAGATCTGTCTCTGGTCTATTCATCATACATGGTGCCAGAATGTCATTTAATAGAACACAATCCCAAAGCCTTCAACGGCAAATAAGGCAAAACACATCGCTCAGCCAGTTCTACCAAGCAGACTTCACAGCTCTCTCATGAAGCTTCTAGACATTCCCGGGTGCACAGAGCTGGAGATCGGTGGATGAGCACTGCCATCTGCTCATAAAAGCCACAATTAAACAACTTTCTCACAAAAGAGATTTTCTGATTGGAAATTAAATTGACATTATTTAAAGAGAACCTGTCAGGAAGGGTTTGAAGCTTCTGTCCAGTCCTGGAAGGTGCCATTGTCTGACCCTGGGAAGGGGGGGGCCTGTTCTGCTAAATGCACCTGTATAATTATGATGTTCTTCCTTTTACCGATATGGTCTACAGCTATCACTCTGATATACTACGACTTTACAATTGTCAAAATTGACTGTGGGTGTCATCTTGTACTTGGGATCCAGCTGGACTGAGTTGATTTAACAATACTGGTTTAGGAACCCTTCAGCCTCATAATATTAGGCTGTCAGCCTTCACTCCAAGCTGAATACCAATGGCATTTTCACACCTGAGTTTGAGCTGGACTGATCTGGTCTAACTATGCTGGCTCCTTAGCCTTCAAGCTTCATCATCATTAGACTATTAGCCTTTACTTCAAGTTGAATATCAATGGCACTGATGTCTATAATGTGATTTGGATACTATCATTCTCTCACACACCTGTGGTCAGGTTAAATGGGCATCAGCCCCTACACTCTACAGCCCATCATTTACATTGCTGTCTATCAATGTGTCAGGGCAGAAGCGGTGGAATGGACAGGCAGGCCTAATGGTCGGGTCACGCAGCGACTGACAACAGCCGCTACTCACAGACCAGAGTCCCTCAGGGCGCAGAGTCTAAGCCCCAGGCTGTGTCCTTCACCAGGGCCCCTGATGGTGGGGATGGACGTGACGCAGCCAGGGACCATGTCACGGCCCCCGAGCAACCCCAGCTGCGGTAACGACTGCCGCCAATGGCGTACAGCTGGTGGGAGCCAGATGAAAAACGTATAGCGTGGTTGGACAGGCCGGGTCGATAACAACGGAGCAGACAGTACAAGACGGTAGACAAGAATACTCAGGTCACGGGCCGGGTTCAGCAACGGGAGGTCAGGTAATGGGATAAAGCAGAGAATAGTCTTGTCCAAGCCGAGTCTGTTATCAGTAGAGCAATGAGAACAGAGCAAGAGCTTGCTGCAAGGGAACATACAGGACACGAATGCAGAGAGCAACTGCAGACAACAGGCTTAAATGTGATCAGCCACACCCTTCTGGAGGAGGAGCCACAGAGGCCTGAAAGCATAAAGACTCCCACAATGCTTTGCAGGAACTTAAGATGGATGCCAGCACATGGAGCAACACAATCTCTGAGGAAAGGTAGGACCTTGACACAATGTCCATTGAAGCTGGATGTTTATTTTCTGTGTAGTCTGTGAAATTGCCCTGGAGGAGGGGCGAAACGCATTGATGCATTTATGGCTTCACTGTCTAACAGTACTACGTCACTTCCGGTGAGTGGAGCGCACGCCAGCGTGCGGCGCTCTCAGGGGTCATCTTGCTGAGAGATCCTAGCAAACCCTGGTGATGTGGCGTTTTGGCTCCATTTAAAAACAATAAATTCTGATTATATCTTTTGATAATGTGAGTGGTTTGGTGTTTGCAGTCTGAGTTTTGCAGTATTACACTATATATATTTTTTTTTCTCCGTACCAATCATCCTTTTTCTGGCGAGTGATCTCTGTTGATCCTGGAGGTTGAAGGCTGGTTGATATTACGTTTTGGAGGTCTAAGGCATATATCCTACCTGTAGTGGGGGAAGTCCATGTACACCTGGTGATTGGAGGCTGTACTGATTGGGTCCAAAACCCAAAAATAAGGCATTTTTTTACCACTATCTGGTGAGTGCGGTATGTGATCTGAGCACTAGCATGGTGTGTACATGGGTCAAGGGGCTTTTTGGATAAGGACTTTTCAACTGTATTCTACTCACCTTCATTTTAATAATTTGGCGTTGAACTATTCTATTTAATCTATATAAAAATAATATTTTTTGAATTTATATGTATTATACATTTGTTGGATTATTTCCTTTTGTTTATTATTTATTGTAATTTATTTGCGCTGTTTTATGTTTTAATATTTTTTTGGGTGTTTACACTAATGAGCAGCAGCATTTATTTAGGAATTATTTCCTCTCCTTTCCCTTTTCCTTTCCCCATTCCCTTTCTCTTTCCCCTTTCCTTTCCTTTTACCTTTCCTCTTCTCTTTCCCTTTCCTATTACCTTTCCTCTTCTCTTTCCCTTTCCTTTACCTCTCTTCTTCTCTTTCCCTTTCCCTTTCCCTTTCCTTTTTCTTTCCCTGTGCCCTTCTCTTTCCCTTTCCTTTTTCTTTAACTTTTTCTTTTACCTTTGCCTTTCCTCTCCTTTTTCCTTTCCCTTTCATTTTTTCTTTTGTTTCTCTGTTCTTTCCCTTTCCTTTTCCTTCTTTTTTATTTTCCCTTTCTCCTTCCCTTTCCCTTGTCCCTTTACTTTCCATTTTCTGTTTCTCTTTTTCCTTTCCTTTCCTTTTTTTACTTTTCTTTCCTTTCTCCTGTTTTCCTTTCCTTTCTTTTCCTTTCCTTTCCTTTCCTTTTCCCTTTTTTCCCTCCCTCTTCCTTTCCTTTACCCCTTTCCTTTACCCCTATCCTTTCCCTTTCCTTTCCCTTTCCTGTCCCCTTTTTTTTTGCCCTTGCTCTTCCTTTCCTTTCCCCCTTTACCTTACTTATCCTACCTGCAGTGGTGGAAGTCCATGTACACCTGGTGATTGGAGGCTGTACTGATTGGGTCCAAAACCCAAAAATAAGGCATTTTTTTTACCACTATCTGGTGAGTGCCGTATGTGATCTGAGCACTAGCATGATGTGAACACGGGTCAAGGGTCTTTTTGGATAAGGACTTTTCAACTGTATTCTACTCACTTTCATTTTAATAATTTGGCGTGGGATTATTCTATTTAATCTATATAAAAATTATATTTTTTGAATTTATATGTATTATACATTTTTGGGATTTCCTTTTGTTTATTAAGTGTTCTTCCATGGCGACCACTTCCTGTTATCTCATATATATATTCTTATTATTATAGCCAAATTTACCACCTTAACTCCTCCCACAGTTTTTACACTCCATAGACAGTAATATACGGAATATACGGAAACGTGCGGATTGTTCCCGATTGGTGTGCTACTACATTGTGGAACGTTTCACGGAATGGTTCACGAAATATCGCCATATTTGTGGGGAAATTGGTCCCATAGGAATGAATGGCGGAATGTTCAAAACTAGAGTGGGAGCTGACAAAAGCTAGAGAGTGAGCTGAAAAATCAGGATATGTGTCAGGGCTCCCAGGTATGACCAGAGGTGTGTGACTGAAGCAGGGAAACGCAGACTTCAGATATGTGATTAACAATGTAATTTATTAACACTAACAATACAAACATAAACGCAGTGCAATACTAAACATAATACAGTGCAAACAAACCAAACCAACCACCCACAGATAACAGTACATACAATGCAAGGGTCGTCAGGCAGGCCGAGTCAATATCAATTGGGCAGGTAGGTACAGGGGGAGCAAGCGGAGAATGGTCGGGGTCACAGGCCAGGTTCAGCAGGTAGCAAGCAGCGTAGTACAGAGGGTCAGGCAGAGGGATGGTCAGGGTCACAAGCCAGGGATTAGAACAGGTAGCAAGCAGCGTAGTACAGAGGGTCAGGCAGAGGGATGGTCAGGGTCACAAGCCAGGGATCAGAACAGGTAGCAAAGGAACAGAAACAGGATGCAGGACAGATACAGGGCCCAGGACAAACACAACACCAAGGCAGAGTCTGCAAGTCTGGCCATCCCTTAAATACACCAGTATCATCAGTTCCAGGTGTTAGCTGGCTGAAAGGTTGAGTCTCTGATTGCTGGGAGCACCCGCTGGCCAGCCCTGGTACTGCAGATCAAAAGACAGGTGAGTCCCACCATTGCTGGCCAGTCCATTCCTGACAGTACCCCCCTCTCAAGGAGCGGCCTCAGGACGCTCCAAAGAGTCCTAGCTGGGAAAAAATGTTCCACCGCCCGGGTCTGGTAACTGGCAGGATATCAAAGACTGGCACACCGGGCAGGACTCCGGGCAGCGGTACACCGGGCAGAGGCACATCGGGCTGGACTCCGGGCAGAGGCACATCGGGCTGGACTCGGGCAGAGGCACATCGGGCTGGACTCCGGGCAGAGGCACATCGGGCTGGACTCCGGGCAGAGGCACATCGGGCTGGACTCCGGGCAGAGGCACATCGGGCTGGACTCCGGGCAGAGGCACATCGGGCTGGACTCCGGGCAGAGGCACATCGGGCTGGACTGGACTCTGGGCAGAGGCACATCGGGCTGGACTCCGGGCAGAGGCACATCGGGCTGGGACTCCGGGCAGAGGCACATCGGGCGGGACTCCGGGCAGAGGCACACCGGGCAGGACTCCGGGCAGAGGCACACCGGCAGAGGCACATCGGGCTGGACTCCGGGCAGAGGCACATCGGGCAGGACTCCGGGCAGAGGCACATCGGGCAGGACTCCGGGCAGAGGCACATCGGGCAGGACCCCGGGCAGAGGCACAATCGGGCTACCAGGCGAAGCGGCAGGCAGCGGGCCACCGGGCGGAGCGGCAGGCACCGGGCCCCCGGGCGGAGCGGCAGGCACCGGGCCCCCCGGGCGGGGCGGCAGGCACCCCCCCCCCCCCCCCCACCCCCCCGGGCGGGGCGACAGGCATCGGGCCCCCAGGCGGGGCGACAGGCATCGGGCCCCCAGGCAGAACTACAGGTCTCGGGCCCTCAGGCGGAGCGGCGGGTGCCGGACCCCCAGATGGAGCGACAGGCCTCGGGCCCCCAGGCGGGGCGACAGGCATCGGACCCCCAGGCGGGGCGACAGGCATCGGGCCCCCAGGTGGGGCGGCGGGCACCGGACCCCCAGGCGGAACTACAGGCCTCGGGCCCTCAGGCGGAGCGGCGGGCGCCGGACCCCCGGGTGGAGCGACAGGTCTCGTGCCCTCAGGCAGAGCGGCGGGCGCGCCGGACCCCCAGGTGGAGCGACAGGCATCGGGCCCCCAGGCGGGGCGACAGGCATCGGGCCCCCAGGCGTGGCGACAGGCATCGGGCCCCCAGGCGGAGCGGCGGGCGCCGGACCCCCAGGCGGAACTACAGGTCTCGGGCCCTCAGGCGGAGCGGCGGGCGCCGGACCCCCGGGGTGGAGCGACAGGTCTCGGGCCCTCAGGCGAGCGGCGGGCGCCGGACCCCCAGGTGGAGCGACAGGTCTCGGGCCCCCAGGCGGGGCGACAGGCATCGGGCCCCCAGGCGGGGGGCGGCGGGCGCCGGACCCCCAGGCGGAACTACAGGCCTCGGGCCCTCAGGCGGAGCGGCGGGCGCGCCGGACCCCCGGGTGGAGCGACAGGTCTCGTGCCCTCAGGCGGAGCGGCGGGCGCCGGACCCCCAGGTGGAGCGACAGGTCTCGGGCCCCCAGGCGGGGCGACAGGCATGGGCCCCCAGGCGGGGCGGCGGGCGCCGGACCCCCAGGCGGAACTACAGGCCTCGGGCCCTCAGGCGGAGCGGCGGGGCGCCAGACCCCCGGGTGGAGCGAGAGGTCTCGTGCCCTCAGGCGGAGCGGCGGGCGCCAGACCCCCAGGTGGAGCGACAGGCATCGGGCCCCCAGGCGGGGCGACAGGCATCGGGCCCCCAGGCGTGGCGACAGGCATCGGGCCCCCAGGCGGAGCGGCGGGTGCCGGACCCCCAGGCGGAACTACAGGTCTCGGGCCCTCAGGCGGAGCGGCGGGCGCCGGACCCCGGGTGGAGCGACAGGTCTCGGGCCCTCAGGCGGAGCGGCGGGCGCCGGACCCCAAGTGGAGCGACAGGTCTCGGGCCCCCAGGCGGAGCGACAGGTCTCGGGCCCTCAGGCGGAGCGGCGGGCGCCGGACCCCCAGGTGGAGCGACAGGTCTCGGGCCCTCAGGGAGCGGCGGCGGGCGCCGGACCCCCAGGTGGAGCGACAGGTCTCGGGCCCTCAGGTGGAGCGGCGGGCGCCGGACCCCCAGGCGGTGCGACAGGTCTCGGGCCCTCAGGCGGAGCGACAGGTCTCGGGCCCCCAGGCGGGGCGGCGGGCGCCGGACTCCCAGGTGGAGCGGCGGGCTCTGGACCCCCAGGCGGAGCGACAGGTCTCGGGCCCCCAGGCGGAGCAGCGGGCACCGAGTCACCAGGCACGACAGTGGGCTCCGAGTCAACTGGCATGACCGCTGGCACTAGGTCAGACATTGGATCGTCTGGCTGGACAGCGGGCATCGGGTCACCAGGCATCAGGTCATTTGGCTCGACCGCGGGCACCGCGTCATCTGGCAAGGCAGTGGGCTCCGAGTCAACTGGTATGACCGCGGGCACTGGGTCAGACATTGGATCGTCTGACTGGACAGCGGGCATCGGGTCACCAGGCATCAAGTCATTTGGCTTGACAGCGAGCACCGCGTCATCTGGCAAGGCAGTGGGTTCCGAATCAACTGGCAATGACCGCGGGCACTGGGGCAGACATTGAATCGTCTGGCTGGACAGCGGGCATCGGGTCACCAGGCATCAGGTCATTTGGCTCGACAGAGGGCACCGCGTCATCTGGCAAGGCAGTGGGCTCCGAGTCAACAGGCACGACAGTGGGCACCGGGTCATCAGGTACCGGATTGTCTGGCTCGACAGCAGGCATCGGGTCACCAGGTATGACAGCGGGCACTGGGTCACCCAGGCATCAGGTCATTTGGCTTGCCAGCGGGCACCGCGTCATCTGGCAAGGCAGTGGGCACCGGGTCACCAGGCATTGGATCGTCTGGCTCGACAGCGGGCATCGGGTCACCAGGTATGACAGCGGGCACTGGGTCACCAGGCATCAGGTCATTTGGCTCGCCAGCGGGCACCGCGTCATCTGGCAAGGCAGTGGGCACCGAGTTACCAGGTACGACAGCGGGCTCTGAGTCAATTGGCACGACAGCGGGCACCGGATCAGGTACCGGATCATCTGGATCAACAGCGGGCATCGAGTCAACTGGCCTAATAGGATCGTCAGGCTGGATCAGTTCATCATGCTGGGTAGAGGCATCAGGCTGAATGCCGGCGTCCGGCTGAGTAGAGGCTTCAGGCCGAGTAGAGGCTTCAGGCCGAGTAGAGGCTTCAGGCCGAGTAGAGGCATCAGGCCGAGTAGAGGCATCAGGCTGAAGAGAGGCATCAGGCCGAGTACAGGCATCAGGCTGAGTAGAGGCTTCAGGCTGAGTAGAGGCTTCAGGCTGAGTAGAGGCTTCAGGCTGAACCACGGAAGGCAGGTTCACCGGTTTGGATACTGGCAGGATGGTATTGGTTGGAAAGAATTTTCGCTTTTTTCTGGTTTTAACTACTGGAGCACTGCAAGTAAACGCAGGTCTGCAAACGAATGGAGCAGCTGGAGACAGAGAAGAACTGGAGGATGGAACAGGAGAGGGAGCAGTTGCTACAGAGGGCTCTTTTACAGGGTTAAAGGCAGGATAGGTGCAGCGAGTGGGAACAGGGGACTGACATGCGGTAGATAGCCAAGTATACTGGGCTGTAACTGGAGGAGCTGGTGGGAATACAGGATAGAGTTAGAAGCAGGACTGGGTCTTTGTAAGCTGACTGAGGCTGGGTGCAACAAGTCTGTCCATGTCTGCAGTATGGGTTGAACAAAGCTGAGCTTACACAAAGCCTGTCTGGTCAATGACTGCACTGCGTTTATACAATCTCTTAGTGTCTGTGGTGAACATGTGGAATAACGCTCCAGAAAGTAACCCACATCATCCTCTAATAACCACACCAGGGACTCTACCTGGTCTGCACTAAATGGCGGCAAAAATTCATCCCTGCATTCGGGGGTACCAGATGAAACCAACTCAGCACAAACCTGAATCAAAGGCTGCACCTCAGAGAACTCTGTGCCCTGATCTACTAGAACATGAGCGAGCCGTATACATTCTAGCAGTTCATCCCGGGGATACTCCTTCAGAGTTTGATAAGCATACTCCCTGTCATCAAACACTAGCAGAGATAAATACTCAACCTCATCCAGATCCATCCTTCCCAGCAACAAGCCAAGATGGCTTCCCTGTGCAGCCACTTCTGGTCAGGATTGGCCTTGGTGTAATGTCAGGGCTCCGGGTATGACCAGAGATGTGTGACTGACGCAGGGAAACGCAGACTTCAGATATGGGATAAACAATATAATTTATTAACACTAACAATACAAACATAAACGCAGTGCAATACTAAACATAATACAGTGCAAACAAACCAAACCAACCACCCACAGATAACAGTACATACAAGCAAGCGTCGTCAGGCAGGCCGAGTCAATATCAATTGGGCAGGTAGGTACAGGGGGAGCAAGCGGAGAATGGTCGGGGTCACAGGCCAGGTTCAGCAGGTAGCAAGCAGCATAGTACAGAGGGTCAGGCAGAGGGATGGTCAGGGTCACAAGCCAGGGATCAGAACAGGTAGCAAGCAGCGTAGTACAGAGGGTCAGGCAGAGGGATGGTCAGGGTCACAAGCCAGGGATCAGAACAGGTAGCAAAGGAACAGAAACAGGATGCAGGACAGATACAGGGCCCAGGACAAACACAACACCAAGGCAGAGTCTGCAAGTCTGGCCATCCCTTAAATACACCATATCATCAGTTCCAGGTGTTAGCTGGCTGAAAGGTTGAGTCTCTGATTGCTGGGAGCACCCGCTGGCCAGCCCTGGTACTGCAGATCAAAAGGCAGGTGAGTCCCACCATTGCTGGCCAGTCCATTCCTGACAATATGATTTCTAAACTGCCATCACTCCCTCATTTTCAAGCCCACCTACACAAATCTTATATCAAAACGTTCAGCTATCCCTGCTGCCGCTAAAAATGTCCGTAAACCATAGTCCTGATAGTTTTCACAATATGACCATTTGTTTGCAACTCACGCCGCCCATTGACATTCATTGAAACTGCACTCTAGCCACCTCAAATTTGAAGGGCAATTTCTAAACTGCAACTGTGCCTTCATTTTTAATATTTCAGAGACATACTATGCATCAAAATGTAGGTCTGGGTCTTGTGATTCTCACAATATAAAGCTCTTCAGTGTAGGATTTACAATTTTTAAACTACAACCGTTTGAAGATGGCAACCGCCAGTGAAGTGAGCAAGTTGGAGCAGTTTGTTTTTAACCGCTCTTCTCTGCCCTTGCTGTAGCGTGAGTTGCCATAGGAACCCAGGTGTGTGAGCAGGCAGCAGAGTGACAAGCCACTCCCCCCAGTTACTCCGCCCACTCCACCCAGTTACTCCGCCCACTCCAGTTGTAGACTACTGGTGGAGGCAAGAACACTTCACACAATTTCCCCAGAAATTGTAGCTTTTCTAGTTATTTGTTGTAAATTGTTTGCGCTGTTTTATGTTTTAATATTTTTTTTGGTGTTTACACTAATGAGCAGCAGCATTTATTTAGGAATTATTTCATGTTTTTTTTTGGTGCTGGTGATTTTTTTGTATATATGGATGTTTATTTTCATCTAATTTGTGATCAGACTCAGTGGATCTACTGGATGAACAGACCGAACAAGCTTCCAATTAGTTTGTATCTAACTGCGAGCCTCTATTTTATTGTGCACATTCTAGTATATTTGGGGCTAATAGGGGAAGTTATCCCTAATGGATGTGATTGGCCATTATGGCCTTACACTAATATTGGGCTGATATAGTGAGCCTGTTTGCCTAAATGTTTGACAATATATGTGCTGCTCATAATAGTGGACTATGTCCTGGTTGGAGAGTTTTATTTTCCAGTCTTGGATCTTGCAATGTGGGTATTCCACTATTTTTATTTTATTTATTTATTTCTGGTACTCTTATACCGCCATCAATTTTACGTAGCGATTTACATATATATTGTACATTCACATCAGTCCCCGCCCCCGAGGACCATACAATCTATGGTTCCTAACTTACATTCATACATACACATACTGGGGCCAATTGAGACAGGAGCCAATTAACCTACCAGCAGGTCTTTGTAGTGTGAGAGGAAACCGGAGTACCCGGAGGGAACCCAAGCAGGCACAGGGAGAGCATGCAAACTGCAGACAGGAGGTTCTGTGGTTGGGATTTGAACCAACGACTAGTACTGCAAGGTGGAAGTGCTAACCATTTAGTCACTGGGTATAACTGACTCACAATTAATGTTCATCTAAGATGGAAGGTAGTTGTATTATGTTTATACTCATAATATGTGGGGCCCGGGTCATTTTATTCCATAAAGTTTATTAGGAAAATTACAAAACATAGCATACAGTTAGTACAATAATGTAGAAGGGGAAGGGGAATGGAGGGTATGCGGAGAAGGCAATTAACATAAGCCATACAAGAAAGGGAGAGTATATGTATTAACCACATGCCGCCCAGCCACTGTATAAATACGGGGGCAGGGCGGCACAGCTGGGCAAAAGCACATTTTAAAACATGTGTTTTGTAAACAGGTAGGGGGTGCGCGCAAGGCGCGCCGCCGCCCTACCTGTCCCGCCAATCACAGCCGCGGATGTCAGGTCGTTACCGGCTATGTCCCATCGATAGGCGGCAATCACTGACAGAGAGCAGAGCTGCAGTAGCTGTGCTTTCTGTCAGCTCCCTGACAGCTCCAGGACACGCTGATCAGGACAGAAGAGTTCCTCTCTCCGATCAGCGGTGTCCCATGCAGTACACACCCCCGCCCCCTAGTAAAAACACTCCCCTCACACAGTTAGCCCTTTCCTGAATAATAAACTTAACCCCTTCCTGCCCAGTGCCATTAGTACAGTGTCAGTGTTTTTTTTTTTTGCACTGATCACTGTATTGGTGTCACTGGGGATGTCAGTGACCCCAAGTCAGTACCCCCCCAATGTCAGAATGTCCCGCAGTCCCACCATAAGTCGCTGATCGCCGCCATTATTAGTATAAAAAAAACCTAAAAATCCCAATATCTTTCCCGCCATTTGTAAATGCTATAACTTTCACGTAAACCAATTAATTTACACATATTGGGGTTTTTTTGTAGCAAAGACATGTCGCAGAATGCATTTTGGCAGAAATTTATGACTAAATTTGATTTTTACATTTTTTTTTACTGGACATTTTTTATAGCAAAAAGTCCAAAATATTGTTTTTTTTCCTCAAAATTGTCAGCCTTTTTTTTTAATAGCGCAAAAAATAAAAACCGCACAGGCGATCAAATACCACCGAAAGAAAGCTCAATTTGTGGGAAAAAAAGGATGTAAATTTCATTTAGTACCGTTTTGCATGACCGCGCAATTGTCCGTTAAACTAGCGCAGCGCTGTATAGCAGAAAAATGGTGTAAATTGCAGTATCTATCCCATAGTTTGTAGACGCTATAACTTCCACACAAAGCAATCAATATACACTTATTGGGATTTTTTTTATCAAAAACATGGAGCAGAATAC